AAAAGAAGGAGGAAAGAAGAAGGAAAAAGAAGGAAAAGAGAAAGGAAGGGAAGAAAGAAAGAAGGGGAGAAAAGAAAGGCATGAGGGGAGGAAAGAAAAGAAAGAAGGGAAGAGTAAAAAGAGAAGAAAAAGAAAGGATGGATAGAGGGAAGAAAGGAAAGCAGGGAAGGTGGGAGGGAAGGAGAGAAAAAGATGGGAAGAGAAACGAAGGGATGAAGGAAGGGAAGAAAAGAAGAAAAAGAAATGGATAGAAAGAAGGAAAGAGAAAGGAAGAGAGAGATGGAGTAAGAAATACAAAGGAAGGGAGAAAGAAGAGAAAGGAAAGGGAAAGATATGAGAGAAGGGAAAGAACTAGAATGAAGGAAAGAGAAAGGGGAAGAAAAATGAAGGGAGGAAGGGAAGAAAGAGGAAGGGAAGAGAAAGAAAAGCAGGGAAGGCGGGAGGGAAGGAGAAAAAGAGAAAAGATGGGAAGAGAAAGAAGGGAAAGGAGGGGAAGGAAGAAAGGAAGATAAGAAAGGAAGAAAAGAAAGAGGAAGAAAAGAAAGGAGGGGAAGAAAGAAAGAGAGAGAAAGAGAAAGAAAGAAAGAAGAAGAGAAAGGAAAAGAAAGAAAGAAAGAAAGAAAGTAAAGAAAGAAAGAGGGAAGACGGGATAAGAAAGACAAAGGAGGAGAGAAAGGAAGAGAAAGGAAAGGCATGAGTGGAAGGAAAACTAGAAAGAAGGGAAGAGTAAAAAGAGAAGAAAAAGAAAGGATGGATAGAGGGAAGAAAGGAAAGCAGGGAAGGTGGGAGGGAAGGAGAGAAAAAGATGGGAAGAGAAACGAAGGGATGAAGGAAGGGAAGAAAAGAAGAAAAAGAAATGGATAGAAAGAAGGAAAGAGAAAGGAAGAGAGAGATGGAGTAAGAAATACAAAAGATGGGAGAAAGAAGAGAAAGGAAAGGGAAAGGTGTGAGAGAAGGGAAAGAACTAGAAGGAAGGGAAGAGAAAAGGGAAGAAAAATGAAGGGAGGAAGAAAGAGGAAGGGAAGAGAAAGAAAAGCAGGGAAGGAGGGAGGGAAGGAGAAAAAGAGAAAAGGAAGAAAAAGAAGGGTTGAAAGAAGGAAGGGAAGGGAAGAATGAAAAAAAAGGATGAAAGGCATAAAAAGGGATAGAAAAAAAAGAAAGAAAGTAAAAGAAAGAAAGAAAAGGAGAGGAGGAAGAAAGAAGAGAAAGGAAAGGAAAGAGCGGAAGGAAAGATCTAGAAAGAAGGGAAGAGTAAAAAAGGAAAGAAAAAGAAAGGATGAAGGGAGGGAAGAAAGAAAAGCAGGGAAGGTGGGAGGGAAGGAGAGAAAAAGATGGAAAGAGAAACGAAGGGATGAAAAGGGAAGAAAAGAAAAAGAAATGGATAGAAAGAAGGAAAGAGGAAGAGAGAGATGGAGTAAGAAAGGAAGGGAGAAAGGAAGAGAAAGGAAAGGAAGGAGAGAGAGGAAAGGAAAGAAGGAAGGGAAGAGAAAAGAGAAGAAAAAGGAGAAGGAAGGAGAAGAGGAAAGAAGAGAAGGAAAGAGGGAAAGAGGAGGGAAGGAGAGAAAGAGAAAGATGGAAGAAAAAGGAAGGGTTGAAGGAAGGAAGGAAGGAAGGAAGGAAGGAAGGGAAGGGAAGAATGAAAAGAAAGGGCGAAAGGCGTAAAACAAGGAGATAGAAAGAAAGAAAGAAAGAAAGAAAGAAAGAAAGAAAGAAAGGGAAAGGAAGACAGCTGATTGGATAAGAAAGACAAAGGAGGAGAGAAAGGAAGAGAAAGGAAAGGCATGAGGGGAAGGAAAGATCTAGAAAGAAGGGAAGAGTAAAAAAAGAGAAGAAAAAGAAAGGATGAAGGGAGGGAAGAAAGATGAAGGGAAGAGAAAGGAAAGCATGGAAGGTGGGAGGGATGGAGAGAAAGAAGGAAAGAGAAAGGAAGAGAGAGATGGAGTAAGAAATACAAAGGAAGGGAGAAAGAAGAGAAAGGAAAGGGAAAGATATGAGAGAAGGGAAAGAACTAGAATGAAGGAAAGAGAAAGGGGAAGAAAAATGAAGGGAGGAAGGGAAGAAAGATGAAGGGAAGAGAAATGTGTGGGAGAAAGAAAAGAAAGGGGAGAGAAAAAGGAAAAGAAAGAAAGAAAGAAAGGATGAAGAGAGGGACGTAAGAAAGAGGAAGGGAAGAGAAAGGTGTGCAGAAAGAAAAGGAAAGGAAGAGAAAGGGGGAAGAAGGAAGGGAGGGAAGAAAGGAAAAAAGTCATGGTGAAGAAAGGAAGGGTACGTAAGGAAAAAACAACATTAAGAAAAAAGAGAGGGAAAAAGCAAGGGAAAAGGGAAGAGATTCCAAGAGCCATTGAGTCCAACCCCCTGCCATACAGGAAAACACAATCAGAGCATACCTAACTGATGGCCATCTAGCTTTTGCTTAAGGAATGAAGGAAAGAAAAGTAGAAAAGAAAGATAGATAGAAAAGAAAGAAAAGATATGAGGGAAACAGTGGAAGGAAAGAAAGAACCACAAAGAAAATGCATACCCAAGCCATGCCGGGTATAGACACCAGTAAATCGATAAATCAAAGTATCACATGATGTCCCCATATTCTTAATTCACATGAAGTGGTGCAGTGGGTTAAACCCCTGTGCTGGCAGGACTGAAGACTGACAGGTCGCAGGTTCGAATCCGGGGAGAGGCGGATGAGCTCCCTCTATCAGCTCCAGCTGCTCATGCGGGGACATGAGAGAAGCCTCCCACAAGGATGATAAAAGCATCAAATCATCCGGGCGTCCCCTGGGCAACGTCCTTGCAGACGGCCAATTCTCTCACACCAGAAGCGACTTGCAGTTTCTCAAGTCGCTCCTGACACGACAAAAAAAAATTCACATGAAGAGGGACTTAAGTCCCAGACCCCTTACGTTGTGGTGGTATTAATAAATGTTGTGGTGACCCCCAACCATATATTATTTTTGTTGCTACGTCACAACTTTCATTTTGCTACTGTTATGAATTGTAATGTAAATGTCTGATAGGCAGGATGTATTTTCATTCACTGGACCAATTTGGCACAGATACCCAATACTTCCAAATTTGAATACTGGTGGGGTTGGGGAGGGATTGATTTTGTCATTTGGGAGTTGTAGTTGCTGGGATTTATAGTTCACCTACAATCAAAGAGCATTCCCAACTCCCCCAACAATGGAATTGAAGCACAGAGTTCTCCCAAGACCAACAGAAAATATTGGAAGGGTTTGTAGGGCATTGGCCTTGAATTTTGGAGTTATAGTTCACCTACATCCAGAGAGCACTGTGGACTCAAACAATTTTGGATCTGGACCAAATTTGGCACAAATACCCAATATTCCCAAATGTGAACACTGATTGAGTGGGGGGGGGGGGAATAGAACTTGACAATTGTGAGTTGTAGTTGCTGGGATTTATAGTTCACCTACAATCAAAAGAGCATTCTGAACTCCACCAATGATGGAATTGAACCAAACTTAGCACACAAACTTGGCAAACTTGGCACATGAGAAAATGTTAGAAGAGTGTGATGGGCATTGGTCTTGAATTTTGGAGTTGTAGTTCACCTACATCCATAGAGCTCTGTGGGCTCAAACAATGATAGATCTGAACCAAACTTGGCATGAATACACAATATGCCCAAATGTGAACACTGGTGGAGTTTGGGGGAAATAGACCTTGACATTTGGGAGTTGTCGTTGCTGGGATTTATAGTTCACCTACAATTAAAAAGAATTCTGAACTCCACCAACGATGGAATTGAACCAAACTTAGCACACAAACTTGGCACGCAAACTTGGCACATGAGAAAATGTTCGAAGGGTGTGATGGGCATTGGCCTTGAATTTTGGAGTTATTGTTCATCTACATCCAGAGAGCACTGTGGGCTCAAACAATGAAGGATCTGGACCAAACTTGGCACGAATCTATATAAATAAAAATGTAATGTTTGTTTGTGGGATTAACAGAACTCAAAAACCACTGGACGAATAGACACCAAATTAGGACACAAGACACCTAACAACCCAATGTATATCCTTCATTAAAAATGATTTTGTCATTTGGGAGTTGTAGTTGCTGGGATTTATAGTTCACCTACAATCAAAGAGCATTCTGAACCCCTCCAATGATGGAATTGAACCAAACTTGTAACACAGTTCTCCCATGACCAACAGAAAATCCTTGAAGGGTTTGGTAGGCAGTGCCCTTTGGTTTTGGAGTTGTAGTTCACCTACACCCAGAGATCTTTGTGGACTCAAACAATGATGGGTCTGGACCAAACTCTACACAGAGACTCAGTATGCGCAAATGTAAACACTGGTGGAGTTCGGGGAAAATAGAATCTTGACATTTGGGAGTTGTAGTTGCTGGGATTTATAGTTCACCTACAATCACAGAGCATTCTGAACCCCACCAACGATGGAATTGGGCCAAACCTCCCACACAGAACCCCCATGTGGGTCACAGCAACGCGTGGCAGGGGACGGCTAGTACTCAATATGCCAAAATGTGAACACTGGTGGAGTTGGGGGAGTGAAAATAGACCTTGACATTTGGGATTTGTCACTCCTTGGGTGAGTAGGTGTCTTGTGGCCAAATTTGGCGGCAATTCATCCAGTGGTTTTTGAGTTATGTTAATCTCACAAACGAACATTACATATTTATTTATATGGATTATTATGATAGGTGCTTGGTTTTGCTGTTGCAGTCCGACCCTCCGGTGCTGAACTTCCAAAAGCCAAGCAGGGAAAGGACATTTGCCCCGTTTGAAAACACTCAGGAGTCACCTCCATGTGAAAGGAGACTCACTCTCCTCTTGACGGCTGACTAAGAGCATGACTGGGATGGCAACTGGGTGGACGCTTTGCCCATTCATCTTTTAGAAGTATCGGGCCTGAGAGGGAGTGGCCTGGCAGAATATATCAAAAAGAGCGTGGCTCCTAGCGATTTCCATCAAAGACCTCTTCACCCACACCAAAGTCCATTCTGGAAAGATGGCTGGGGCATGGCACCTTAAGCTTTTTCTCCTGTGTCTCATGCCAGGTAAGCGTCAATGAGGACCATCCTCTTCAGGTGGTATATGTCTGTTTTATATCCGGGTTTGAATGTTGGGATGTTGGGATGCATGTATATTGAACATGAATTTGGGTTCGCCCAAGGAGACTTATGGAACCCAGAAGGTTCTGGAATTCTCTGAGGGATCTGGAGCCTGCCAGTGACTCGATCGATGTGCTGGTGGACACATGGAACATCAGGCTATCCAATGCACTCAATGAGATCGTCCCTAGACGCCCTCTCCGACACCACCGAAATCGGTCTCCTTGGTTCACCGAGGAACTTCGACTGATGAAGCAGGAAAAGAGATGGCTGGAGGGTGTGTGGTGAGAACTCTGTGATGGAGCATCAAGATCAGCTTATGAAGCATTTAGGGAGTCCTATGAGCATGCTATCACTGAAGCAAAGCGAGTATATTGTGCCTCTTTGATAGCGTCTGCTAGCTCATGCCCGGCAAAATTGTTCAAAATAATCCGATCTTTAACTACGGTCCCTACTACCCCAAAAAGTGGTGATCAGGCCCCTTCAGAAAATATATATCAATGATTGGTTGGGAGGGGGGATACTGTTTGCTTACCTTTGAAAATTACCTAGGGCCGCCTCTGTATATAAGCAAATGTATATTCACATGCATTGTAATGTCCTCTGCCCAAATATTGCTAGGAAAGTGGGAGTAGTGGTTGATCAGACTCCAATTCTCCACAGAGAAGGAAGAGCGGGTTTCTCTAAGGCAGGATTCTGTAAAACCTTCTGAAAGGTGCAACAGTCTTACCTGGAAACTAGATTTCTTTTCTCATTATCTTAACCAAGGCCCTGTTTTCAAATCTCCCCCATTCACTAGCAATTTTGCCAGCGGTAAGGATCAATGCCAAAGGACGGGAAGTGATTTACTTGGCCAAGGGGCAATCGGCCAAGTTGGTCTGCCCCTATGAGCTGGAGGCCCACGATGACGGTCCGGACAACCTGGACATTGAATGGACTCGGATGAACTCCGATCCGACCAGTCTAGATAATGTGGTGAGTAATGGATCTTTGCAGACAGAGGTTTTCCCCAGATTTTTCAGTCTATATATGCCAATGTAGTAGAATGACCCTGCTCAATGGACTTGGTGGAAAGTATCATTGAATCGTAATAGTGACATTAGAGTTTGGAATTTAAGGGATTGTTTTACAGTATAGTAATATATAATACTATATTGTGCTGTGCTAATAATATAGTATGTTGTATAAACATATAATGGTGACACTATTATAATGTGATACAATATAATACTAATAATAATAATAGAATATAAAATTGTATATTTTATTTTACATGCAATATTACTAATAATATTACAGTATATTGCAGTGGTTCTCAACCTTTCTAATGCTGCAACCCCTTAATACAGTTCCTCATGTGGTCGTGACCCCCGACCATAAAATTACTTTCATTGCTACTTCGTAACTGTAATTTTACTATTGTTATGAATCGTAATGTAAATATCTGATATCCAGGGTGTATTTTCATTCACTGGATCAATCTGGTCACAAATACACCCAAATCTGAATACTGGTGGGGTTGGGGGGGAATAATTTGTCATTTGGGAGTTGTAGTTTCTGGGATTTATAGTTCAGCTACAATTAAAGAGAATCCTGAACTCCACCAATGATGGAATTGAATCAAATTTGGCACACATAACTCCCATGAACAAGAGAAAATACTGGCAGAGTTTGGTGGGCATTGACCTTGAATTTTGGAGTTGTAGTTCACCTACATCCAGAGAGCACTGTGGACTCAAACAATGGTAGATCTGGACCAAACTTGGCATGAATACTCCATATGCCCAAATGTGAACACTGGTGGAGTTTGGGGTAAATAGACATTGACCTGTGGGATTTGTAATTATGGGATTTATAGTTCGCGTACAATCAATGAGTTTTCTGAACTCCACCAACGATAGAATTGGGCCAAATTTGACACCCGGAACCCCTTTGACCAACAGAAAATACTGTGTTTTCTGATGGTCTTCGGTGACCCCTCTGACACCCCCTCACGACCCCCCCAGGGGTCCCGACCCCCAGGTTGAGAAATGCTGATATAGTGGTATAGTACAATATAGTAATATATCATACTATTATTGTGCTGTTCTAATAATATAATATTATGTATACGCATATAATATTGATAGTATTGTAATGTAATACAATATAATACTAATAATAATACAATATAATAATTTTATTTTTCATATTACAGGTAATATTACTAATAATATTACAGTATTGTGGTATAGTACAATATAGTAATATATCATACTATTATTGTGCTGTTCTAATAATATAATATGTTGTATACACATATAATATTGATAGTATTATAATAATATAATAGTAATAATAATACAATATAATAATTTTATATTTCATAATACAAGTAATATTACTAATAATATTACAGTATAGGTAATACTAATAATAATAGAGTAAAATAATGGAAATGTAATAGTAACAATAATAATAAATAGAGTAAAATATGCAGTCATGCCGGCCACATGACCTTGGGGGTGTCTACGGACAACGCTGGCTCTTCGGCTTAGAAATGGAGATGAGCACCACACCCCATAGTCAGACATGACTGGACTTAATGTCAGGGGACTACCTTTACCTTTTAGAGTAAAATAATAAATGTAATAATAACAACAATAATAAATAGCGTAAAGTAATAAATGCAATAATAACAATAATAATAATGTAAAATAATAAATGTAATAATAATAATAATAATAATAATAATAATAATACATTTATTATGTATTTATAACAGAGTAAAATAATAAATAACCTTGACTCGAGTATAAGCTGATGTGGACTTTTTCAGCCTACAAAAAGGTCTGAAAAACTAGGCTTATACTTGAGTATATACAGTATATATAAGGACTATAAATAAAGTGTGTGTGTGTATATGGGAAGTATTATTGAAATGGGAAGTATTATTCCCATAGTACCTCTAATAATAGGGCATTACATTCAGTGGGTTAAACCACTGAGCTGCTGAACTGAACTTGAGGTCGCAGGTTCGAATCCGGGGAGTGGGGTGAGCTTCCACTGTTAGTCCCAGCTTCTGCCAACCTAGCAGTTTGAAAACATGCAAATGTGAGTAGACCAATAGGAAGGTAATGATGCTCCATGCAGTCATGCTGGCCACATAAACTTGGAGGTGTCTACGGACAACGCTGGTTCTTTGGCTTAGCATCTCTGTTTGGTGATGAGCATCAATCCCCAGAGTCGGACATGACTGGACTTTACCTTTACCGACATTCCCAAACCTTTTGTCGATTCAGCAGCGTTCTCTGATTCCTGCCCAGCAGATCCTCAGTTACCACGACCACAAAGTGATCTATCCTGGAAAGCATTACATACAACAAAGAGGGAATTTTGGAGCCCAGGAACAAGCACAGCATTTAAGCAACTTCAACATGGCGAAAGAGAGCTCCGTTGGACACCGTCTTGGTCTCGTGCCCGACTGCTGTTCGGGTTTGCAACAGCGAATCAACTTTGTCGTCCCCGATCCCAGCCAGTATGACGCTTCCATCAACCTGCAAGATGTTCAGATTTCTGATTCCGCAACCTACGAATGTAAGGTGAAGAAAACCACGCTGGCAAGCCGTAAAGTGACCATCATGGTGCTTGGTGAGTTGGGACTTTCCCCAGAGAATAAGGACATTGGTATCTCAAAGTGTGGGGGAATATCCAAAAGTATTTTTGGTATATACTGTGTATACTCGAGTATAAGCCTAGTTTTTCAGCCCCCTTTTTAGGCTGAAAAATATCCCCTCGGCTTATACTCGAGTCAAGGTTATTTATTATTTTACTCTGCTATTAGTATTTTTTTAAGTTATTTTTATTTAGAATATGTTGCTCCTCGAGATTGGAGCTGAAAGAAAGAGAAGGAGAATACTAGAATTCCCCTTAGGTACATAATAATAATAATAATAATAATAATAATAATAATAATAAACCTTTATTTATACCCCGCTACCATCTCCCGCAGGACTCGGTGTGGCTTACAAGAGGCCGAGCCCAAAATGCATCAGAAACAAAAAACACAACAACAACAATACAACAATAAATAATAGGGCTGGGCGGTTTCGTTTTGTAATTTCGTAATTCGTTAAAAATTCGTTATTTTTTTTATAACGAAGCGATATTGAACCATTCAGGAGCAACTAAAAACCGAAACGAATTTTTCCAATTCGTTTCGTAATTGTTTCGTAATTGTTTCATTATTGATTCGTTATTGATTCGTAAATGTTTCATTATTTCCGCATGTCTGGTGCAAGTTTTAGGGTTGCTGTTTAGGGTTGCTCAGTGAAAAAAAAATATAATTATCACACCAACAGTCAACAACAGAGGGAGAGGGAAGCTTCAGAAGTTTTTTTAGCGTATTGCGCGATCGCGGCCGCCATTAACGAATTGATTCGTAATAGATTCATAATTGTTTCGTAATTGTTTTACGATTTCCAAAATTTCATAAATATCGAACTTTTTTTAAGGAAAATTTCGGAATTCTTTTAAATAACGAAACGCAAAAAACCCCTAAAGACGAATCGAGTTTAGAAACAAATTTTTCCGTGTTTGGACAGCCCTAATAAATAACTCATAGCAAAGCAAAACAATAATCATAGAATCATAGAATCAAAGAGTTGGAAGAGACCTCATGGGCCATCCAGTCCAACCCCATTCTGCCAAGAAGCAGGAATATTGCATTCAAATCACTCCTGACAAATGGCCAGCCTCTGTTTAAAAGCTTCCAAAGAAGGAGCCTCCATCACACTCCAGGGCAGAGAGTTCCACTGCTGAACGGCTCTCACAGTCAGGAAGTTCTTCCTCATGTTCAGATGGAATCTCCTTTCTTGTAGTTTGAAGCCATTGTTCCGCGTCCTAGTCTACAAGGAAGCAGAAAACAAGCTTGCTCCCTCCTCTCTGTGGCTTCCTTTCACATATTTATACATGGCTATCACATATTTATACATGGCAATAACACAATAATCAGGGCCAAATGCAATGATTAAAATTTTTTAAAAATGCTGGGCATGTCCAGGTGAAATAGGATGGATATTTTAGGGATAAGTGGGTGTGCAGACAATTCTAACTCTCTCGTAAAGTGCATTTGGGACATATTGTTTGGGATTCCTTAATCTGGGAAGGCACACTGGAACATCCACCTTTTCAAGCTCTTTTATTTTTCCTTTGTTAATCTTTAATATTATCTCAGGAGTCAGGTACCACCTATAGCAGTGGTTCTCAACGTTCCTAATGCCGCAACCCCTTAATACAGTTCCTCATGTTGTGGTGACCCCCAGCCATTAAATTATTTTCATTGCTACTTCATAATTGTAATTTTGCTACTTTTATGAATCGTTATGTAAATATCTGATATGCAGGATGTATTCTCATTCACTGGACCAAATTTGGCACAAATACCCAATATGCCCAAATTTGAATCCTGGTGGGGTTGGGATGGGAGGATTGGTGGGAAGATGGGATGATGGGGTTTGGTGGGCGTTGACCTTGAGTTTGGGAGTTGTAGTTCAGCTACATCCAGAGAGCACTGTGGGCTCAAACAATTATGGGTCTGTACCAAACTTGGCACAAATACTCAATATGCCCAAATATGTACAGTGGTGAAATTTGGGGGAAATAGACCTTGACATTTGGGAATTGTAGTTGCTGGGATTTATAGTTCACCTACATTCAAAGAGCATTCCTAACTACACCAACAATGGACTTGAACCAAACTTGTCACACAGAACTCCCGTGACCAACAGAAAATACTGGAAGGGTTTGGTGGGCATTGACTTTGGGTTTTAGAGTTGTAGTTCGCCTACATCCAGAGAGCACAGTGGACTCAAACAATGATGGATCTGGATCAAATTTGGCACGAATATTCAATATGCCCAAATGTGAACACTGGTGAAGTTTGGGGGAAATAGTCCTTGACATTGGGGAGTTGTAGTTGCTGGGATTTATAGTTCACCTGCTACCAAAGAGCATTCTGAAGCCCACCAACGATAGAATTAGGCCAAACTTCCCACACAGAACTCCCATGACCAGCAGAAAATACTGTCTGTGATGGTCTTTGGCGACCCCTCTGACACCCCCTCGCGACCCCTTCAGGGGTCCCGACCCCCAGGTTGAGAACCACTGACCTATAGAATATTTTATACCAGTTCTCCTTGAGCTCAGATGTGTATGAGTACTTTAGCTTTCTATTCCAAATTTCTTCCCACTCTGAGATTGTTATTCATTTGCTTATGTCTTTTGACCATTTTGTCATATTTTCCTTGACTTGTTCGGTTTCTGTGGACCATGTTAATAGTTGCTAATATAATTTCTTTATTAATTTTTTGTCTGTTTTTACTATTCTGTCCCAGAATATGCTTCTTGTCTCAAATCCTCTTGTATTATATAACTTAAAGTTTTCTTTTATCTGTTGGTATTGGAACCACGAGATTGACGGGTCGATCTGTTTTAGTTCCTCTTGAGATTACCCTATGTATATTAATTTCCAGAAGTTGGGTATATGTCAACCATTTCTCTCTAGGTAGTTCCCTCATGTGATAGGCCTCGTTAGGGGAGAACCATAATGGGGTCTTTTGATATATTCTATCTTTGTATCTGTGCTGGTACGTCTGTACCAGGAGCTCCAACTTTATTTTCTTTCTATTAAGTGTTTGCATGCATTCCAAAGTTTCAGGGATTCTGCAAAAAGGTGGCTTCCTTTGGTTTGCAGTCATAGGGCAAGCCACCTGTCTATCATTGTTAAGTTTGGATCCGCCCTTCTCCCAGGGAGATGGGAAGGGAAGAGGGGGCCATTTTTAGTTAGTCTTAGTGAGGAAAGCTAAGTTAGAGGACGTGGACAAGCTTCACCTGCACAAAAGCTTCATTTCTTAAGACCATCCAGGGAAACTGAAGTCCAGGAAATTCCAGGGATATTCCAGGGGAAAACAGTCCCAAAGCTCTGGCAGAGAGCTCACAGCCTCTCAGCCTTACAGCATCTGAGGGAAACAGCCCTAAAGTCTCTAAGAAATTCCAGAGGGAAAACAGCTTTACAGACCCAGAGAACTCCAGCTGGAGAATCTGCAAACCTTTACTGGTAGGTCTACTCGGTGCTCAAGACGGTTTGAATCCGGTAGTAGGACCCACATCAGTAAGGATTAGATTATAGTCAGCCTGGAAGAGGTTAAAAAACGGTTTTCCTCTAAAGTAAAGGAACAGTTAATGAAGACAGTTGCCTGTCCCTCGTGGACAAGATTAAGGAAGCCACCAGTTAATTCAAAGCCTTGAAGTTTTTGTTTGACCTATTGAAGATTTGAGAAATATCTGTTGTATTTGTTCAATAATAAAGGAGTTTGTTCCATCACTAAAGACTCTAAAGACTATCTCTACAGGAAAATCCTTAAAGGCCTTTTTTGAGGCGCCCCTGGCTTCCCGCTGGGCACAAGGTGCACGTCCTATTTCAAAAGTCAATTATTAGAAGCCCAGCGCATGACAGAACAGTATCTGTTCCAAAATTGTAGAAGGGCTACTCTTGTCGGATGGTTCTTAAAGTTTTTTCTCTTTTCGCTTTTCCCCTCCATAAATAGCTATGCCAACCCTGCACTCAGAGGCGGCCCTAGGTAATTTTCAACAGTAAACAAACAGTATTTTGGTGCCCCCCCCCCCAAACCAATCACTGATCTATATTTTCTGTTCGTCGTGGGCGTTCTGTGTGCCATATTTGGTTCAATTCCATCATTGGTGGAGTTCAGAATGCTCTTCGTTTGTAGGTGAACTATACATCCCAGTAACTACAACTCCAAAATGAAAAAAAATATGAAAAAATAAATTCCCCCAACCCCACCAGTATTCAAATTTGGGTTTATCGGGTATTTGTGCCAAATTTGGACCAGTGAATGAAAATACATCCTTCACATTTACACGACGATTTATAACAGTAGCAAAATTACAGTTATGAAGTAGCAACGAAAATAATTGTCGAAGGCTTTCATGGCCGGAATCACTGGGTTGCTGTAAGTTTTTCCGGGCTATATGGCCATGTTCTGGAGGCAATTTTTCTCCTGACGTTTCACCTGCATCTATGGCAAGCATCCTCAGAGGTAGTGAGGTCTGACCTATAGAATAGACCTCATTACCTCTGAGGATGCTTGCCATAGATGCAGGCGAAACGTCAGGAGAAAAATTGCCTCCAGAACATGGCCATATAGCCCGGAAAAACCTACAACAACCCATCGAAAATAATGTTATGGTTGGGGGTCATCACTACATGCGGAACTGGATTAAAGGGTCATGGCATTAGGATGGTTGAGAAACACTGAATCAGAGGGAAAAATTAGTCGACTCTAAACCTCTTGCGTGATTCTGGATCTCGCCCACAATCTCTCCATTCTCCAAGCCTCCCTCTCCTTTCTTTCAGAGAGACCATCTGTTCCCAAATGTTCAATTGTGGGCAAAGTCTCTTTGGGACACGAAGTCACCCTCTGCTGTTCCTCGGACGCCGGCAACTCCCCTCTTGCATACCAATGGGCCAGAGTGTCCGGTCACCTTCATGGGAACACCATATCTGCTTTTGCGACAAAAGGTAAGGATGCCATCAGTGCCCAAAATAATTCAAGTTGTATCTTGCCAAACTTGGTTCTCTCACCCAATAATGCTGTCTTGACTCTTCAGGTGTCAATCCTGGTGACATCGTCATTAAGAACCTCTCGCATGAACATGTTGGCCTCTACCAGTGCAGCGTGGCCAACAAGGTTGGATACAGCCAATGCGTGCTGGAGATCAGTCTAGCAGATGGTAAGAGAGCAGCATTGTTTTACATTGTTGAACCACTGAGCAGCTGAACTTGCTGACTGAAAGGTCGGTGGTTTGAATCCATGGGATGGGGTGAGCTCCCACTGTTAGCCCCAGCTTGTGCCAACCTAGCAGTTTGAAAACAGTTTGAGGAGCCCCTGGTGGCGCAGTGGGTTAAACCCCTGTGCCAGCAGGACTGAAGACCGACAGGTCGCAGGTTCGAACACGAGGAGAGGCAGATGAGCTCCCTCTATCAGCTCCAGCTCATAATATGGGGACATGAGAGAAGCCTCCCAAAGGGATGATAAAAACATCAAAAAAAATCATCCGGGCGTCCCCTGGGCAACGTCCTTGCAGACGGCCAATTCTCTCACACCAGAAGTGACTTGCAGTTTCACAAGTCGCTCCTGACACGACAAAAAAAAAGTTTGAAAACATGCAAATGTGAGTAGATCAGTGGGAAGGTAACGGTGCTCCATGCAGTCATGCTGGCCACATGACCTTGGAGGTGTCTATGGACAACGCCGGCTCTTCGGCTTAGAAATGGAGATGAGCAGCACCCCCCAGAGTCAGACACAGCTAGACTTAATGTCAGGGGAAAACCTTTACTATTGATATCAGAATTGATCGTAATTTACTATAATCAACTAGCGTATATCCCCGGTTGTCCAAAGGATTGCTACCTGCCTGCTTTCTCCTTTCTCCAGGCTGAGAAGACCTACCTCACAATTTCTTCATGGCAAGACTTTAGCAACTCTCTTTGGATAGGCTCTCTATGTGGCTCTTCCTTTCTTTCCTCCATTTCTGTCTTATATCCTTCCTTCCTTCCCTCATATACCTTTGATGAAGGCTTGATGAAAATACATAATTCACATATTGGAAAATATATATTTGATGTAACCATATTAGAAATAGGAGTTAGAAAATATATAAGAGAAATGTATGTATGTATGTATGCATGGCCTACACTTCACTTGACTTCTTACAAGCTGCAAAATTAGAGAGGCCAGCATCTAGGAAAAGGAATGTCTAGAGGCCTGGCATATTTCAAGAGGCACCATCTCGGTACCAGGCACCTTGTTGTTGTTGTTCATTCGTTCAGTCGTCTCCGACTCTTCGTGACCTCATGGACCAGCCCACGCCAGAGCTCTCTGTCGGCCGTCACCACCCCCAGCTCCTTCAAGGTCAGTCCAGTCACTTCAAGGATGCCATCCATCCATCTTGCCCTTGGTCGGCCCCTCTTCCTTTTGCCTTCCACTTTCCCCAGCATCATTGTCTTCTCTAGGCTTTGCTGTCTCCTCATGATGTGGCCAAAGGACTTCAACTTTGTCTCTAGTATCCTTCCCTCCAATGAGCAGCCGGGCTTTATATCCTGATTGGATCTTCTCGCAGTCCAAGGCACTCTCAGAACTTCCCTCCAACACCACAGCTCAAAAGCATCTCTCTTCCTTTGCTCAGCCTTCCCTAAGGTCCAGCTCTCACATCCGTCGGTTACTACAAGGAATACCATTGTTTTGACTATGCGGATCTTTGTTGCCAGTGTGATGTCTCTACTCTTTACTATTTTATGGAGACTGGACCTTGCTCTCCTCCCAAGAAGGAAGCGTCTTCTGATTTCCTGGCCACAGTCTGCATCTGCAGTCATCTTTGCCCCTAGAAATACAAAGTCTATCACGGCCTCCACATTTTCTCCCTCTATTTTCCAGTTGTCAATCATTCTTGTTGCCATAATCTTGGGGGGTTTTTTTGTTTGTTTTTTTGGTGTTTAGCTGCAATCCGGCTTTTGCGCTTTCTTCTCAGGCACCTTATTGTAAGACTAATGAGGTGGCCATTAAGAGCTTTCAGGAATACCTTATTTATTTATTTATTTATTTATTTACTTTATTTGTATACCTCTCTTCTCAGCCCTTAGGCGACTCAGAGCGGTTTACAACAGTTTAGATATACACAATACAAAATCATTAGGCCTTTAAAAGCAATAGCATCACAATCTTATCTTAGGATGGATGGAGACTCTTGCTATCAGGTCCAGTAGACATTCTGGCGATGGTCCTCATTAATAGCAACTCTTCAGATAGGGATGCTAATGAAGATTGACAAGGTGTTGAGTTTGAAAATATGCTATTGAAGTCAATGTAAAAGTAGAATTTTGTGACGCACATTGTGATGTCTGTATGATGCATGCATAATTATTTTAAAAGGTATATAAACCAAGGATTTCCTTTGTTCTGAACCCTTCTTTCCTGGCTTACCAGGAGGGTCCATATCCGGTTGGCGCCAACCGAAAATAAAGCCGTGCTTTTCAGTTCTCAGGATCTCTCTTTGTCTCTTTTCCTCAAACCTTCTCCCTGCCATTTCTCCTTCTCTCTCACACTCTCTTTCTCTTCCTTTTTCTTTTCTCTCCCTCTAAATTTTCCTCCTTTCACCTCCCTCCCTTTTTTCTTTCTCTCCCTCCTTTCTCCCTTTCATTCCCTTCTTTTTCTCTTTCTTCATCCCTTTTTCTTCCCTTCTTCCACCTTCTTTACTTCCTTCCCTTCCAACCTTTCCCCCTTTCCCTTTTCCCTTTCTTCATTCCTCAAACCCCCATTGACAGATTAGAGAGATGGGCCAAAACTAACAAAATGAAGTTCAACAGTGACAAATGTAAGATACTCCACTTTGGCAGAAAAAATGAAATGCAAAGATACAGAATGGGGGACGCCTGGCTCGAGAGCAGTACGTGTGAAAAAGATCTTGGAGTCCTCGTGGACAACAAGTTAAACATGAGCCAACAATGTGATGTGGCGGCAAAAAAAGCCAATGGGATTTTGGCCTGCATCAATAGGAGCCTCGTGTCTAGATCTAAGGAAGTAATGCTACCCCTCTATTCTGCTTTGGTTAGACCACATCTGGAATATTGTGTCCAATTCTGGGCACCACAATTCAAGCGAGATATTGACAAGCTGGAATGTGTCCAGAGGAGGGCGACTAAAATGATCAAGGGTCTGGAGAACAAGCCCTATGAGGAGCGGCTTAAGGAGCTGGGCATGTTTAGACTGAAGAAGAGAAGGCTGAGAGGGGATATGATAGCCATGTATAAATATGTGAGAGGAAGCCACAGGGAGGAGGGAGCAAGCTTGTTTTCTGCTTCCTTGGAGACTAGGACGCAAGGAACAATGGCTTCAAACTACAAGAGAGGAGATTCCATCTGAACATGAGGAAGAACTTCCTGACTGTGAGAGCCGTTCAGCAGTGGAACTCCTTGCCCCGGAGTGTGGTGGAGGCTCCTTCTTTGGAAGCTTTTAACAGAGGCTGGATGGCCATCTGTCAGGGGTGATTTGAATGCAATATTCCTGCTTCTTGGCAGAATGGGGTTGGACTGGATGGCCCATGAGGTCTCTTCCAACTCTTTGATTCTATGATTCTATGATTCTAGGGGGGTTCTGTGGTCCAATTCCATCTTAATTAAAAATTCTGGTTTTTAATTGCATTGTGTCATTATCGTATTGTTTTGCTTTGTTATGAGTTATTTATTGTTGTATTGTTATTGTTATGTTTTATGATGTATTTGGGCTCGGCCTCTTGTAAGCCGCACCGAGTCCTGCGGGAGATGGTAGCGGGGTATAAATAAAGGTTTATTATTATTATTATTATTATTATTATTATTATTATTATTATTATTAAGTGGACACCCCAGCCACTCAAACATACATATTTTCACTTTTATTATATGTATACATTATACAAATTTAATCAGTTATGCAAAATCACAAACATCACAACTTTTTCCCTCTTGCAGATTCCAACCAGATGATCATTGTTATTGGAGTTGTCCTTGGTTCTCTGCTGTTCTTGATCTTGCTTCTGTGTCTCACTATGTGGATTATTTACTGCGTCCGGAGGAGGAAATTCAAGGAAGAAGTCAACCAGATCAGGTGAATTAAGACAAAGACATGGGGACGCATTTAGTTTTAAGTCTGTGCTATGTACTATAATTAAAAATGCCACAAAATGAGGCAAATATTTATTGTTTTCTCTTTTTAAGGGTTGACAGCGCTCCTCCGCGGGGAAGAGGTGGGAGGAAAAGCAACAAAAACACACAAAGAGGAAAGTATGAACCTCCAAAGGAGCAGGAAGCCGTTGAGATGCTCTGTCCAACAAACCAAGATCTGAATTCCAGAAATGCGGAGAGCGAGGTTCAGAACAAGGGCTCCACGTCTGTCATTACAAAGGCCAGAGTCCATTGTCCCCCAGCCATTCCTTCCTTGGCCTCGTCGCAATGTCGAGTTCCAGCTCAGTTTCAACTACCCGCTAGCCCTGTAGGAACGGAGATGTCTACATCTCAACGGGATACGGCTCAGGCAAAGCATGGACCTTCTGAACGATGTGGGGACATTCATACCATTGTGTCAGCCAGGAGTAGAAAAGATCTGGTATTCTAAGTCCCCTTCGTGCAATGTTTCTCTGCCTTCCTAATGCCGCGACCCCTTAATACAGTTCCTCATGTTGTAGTGACGCCCAACCACAAAATTATTTTCATTGCCACTCCATAACTGTAATTTTGCTACTCTTTTGAGTCATCCTGTAAATATGGAGCCCCCGGCAGCGCAGTGCTGGCAGGACTGAAGACCAACAGGTCGCAGGTTCGAATCCAGGGAGAGCTTGGATGAGCTCCTTCTGTCAGCTCCAGCTCCCCACGTGTGGACATGAGAGAAGCCTCCCAAAAGGATGGTAAAACACCAAAACATCCAGGCCTCCTCTGGGCAACGTCCTTGCAGTTTCTCAAGTTGCTCCTAACACGACCAAAAAAAATGTAAATAACTGACATGCAGGATATATTTTCATTCACTGGACCAAACTCGGCACAAATACCCAATATGCCCAAATACTGGTAGGGTAGGGTGCGGGTGATTTTGTCATTTGGGAGTTGTAGTTGCTGGGATTTATAGTTCACCTACAATCAAAGAGAACTCTGAACTCCACCAATGATGGAATTGAACCCAACTTGGCACACAGAACTCCCATGACCAACGGAAAATACTGGAAGGGTTTGGTGGGCATGGACCTAGAGTTTGGGAGTTGTAGTTCACCTACCTCCAGAGGGGACTCAAGCCCCTTCTTTGGAAGCTTTAAACAGAGGCTGGATGGCCATCTGTCAGGGGTGCTTTGATTGCAATCTTCCTGCTTCTTGGCAGGGGGTTGGACTGGACGGCCCATGAGGTCTGTTCCAACTCTATGATTCTATGATTCTATGATGGATCTGGATCAAACTTGGCACAAATACTCAGCATGCCCCAATGTGAACACTACTGGAGTTTGGGGGAAATAGAGCTTTACATTTGGGAGTTGTAGTTACTGGGATTTACAGTTAACCAACAATCAAAGAGCATTCTGAACCCCACCAAGGATAGAATTGGGCCAAACTTCCCACACAGAACCCCCACGCTTTGAAGAGACTCGCTAATGTGAGCCTCTCTCCAGCCTCCTATGCTCTCCCTTGCCCATGCATGTGCTGTCATGTGCCGAGCATGCCTGCTCTCCCCTCCCTGCTTGGGAGTCTCAGAAACAGCCCGCCTCTTGGCTGAGAGGCCGGCCAATCACAGCGAAGGATGGCTTTTGGTGGGAGGATTCACCTGTCTGTTTCCAAAAAGGAAGAGAAGGACAGGCAGAGAGATCTTCAGCCTTCTTTGCCAAAAGGGTTCTGAAGCCCGTCAGAAATATATGTTTTCTGGTGGCCTTTTGTGATGCCCCCAGGGGTCCCGACCTTCAAGTTGAGAAACACTTACCTAGTGTTATTCAAAGTTCATTTGGTATGATGAATCATAGAATCCTAGAGTTGGAAGAGACTTCATGGGCCATCCAATCCAACCCCCTGCCAAGAAGCAGGAAAATTGCATTCAAAGCACCCCCGACAGATGGCCATCCAGCCCTTGTTTAAAAACATGAGGATTCATCGTGTCTTTGTTACAGTCTGCCCTTTTTCTTTCATTTAATATAATTTGTTCTATTGTGGCTCACCTTCTAAATGTAAGACTTTCTGACAACGTTTAATAAAAATTTGCAGCTGGCTGTTGAAAGTGATGAAAAGTCATTATGTTTTGTGATTTATCCCTCCCTTGCTGGATCATCACCTTGTTGTGGTGAGCTAAGCCATTTGGGGTCATGCATTCCCAGAATCATCATTGTGCTGGCATGGCTGTGCCAGGAGATTTGAATTTCTTTTCTTGCACTGTTAAGGTAAAGGTAAAGGTAGTCCCCTGACATTAAGTCCAGTCATGTCTGACTCTGGGGTGTGGTGCTCATCTCCATTTCTAAGCCGAAGAGCCAGCGTTGTCCGTAGACACCTCCAAGGTCATGTGGCCGGCATGACTGCATGGAGCGCCGTTACCTTCCCGCCGGAGCGGTACCTATTGATCTACTCACATTTGCATGTTTTCGAACTGCTAGGTTGGCAGAAGCTAGGGCTGACAGCGGAAGCTCACGCCGCGTTTAAATTCATTTGGGCCTTGCATTTTGCAATTGGGTAGCTTTCCCCAGGTTGCAATCATAGGGCCAACAACCTATCAATCATCATTAGAACCGTTAGATCCGCCCGTTTCCCCAGGTTTGGAGGGAAAAGGGGACTTTTAGTGCAGTCTCACAGTTTAGAGCCTTACAGTGTGGATGTGTGGGCTCTTCTCTGCCCCACCTGTAAAAATCTTCTCTGCCAGGGTTAAAGATATAGATCTACAGCCAGCCTTTGCTGGGGAAAAAGGGAAAACCTTTGTTAGGGAGTAAAGTTACAGTTCCACAGCTTTGCTAGAGGAATACAACCAGCCTTTGCTGGGCAAAGGAAATAGTTCCTACAGCCTTCGTGGAGAAACTAAAAGCTTGGCAGATCTGCAGCAACCATTGCCTGGTAAGGGACCACTCGGGCTATCCATAACGCAGCTTGGAGCCGGGAGTTAGGGCCTCATGCCAGCAGGGTTAAAAAAAAGATTGCCCAAGGAGGGGTCAGAAGGTTTCCCTATAGAGCAGTGGTTCTCAGCCTTCCTAATGCCACGACCCCTTAATACGCTTCCTCATGTTATGGTGACCCCCAACCATAAAATTAGTTTCATTGCTACTTCATAACTGTCATTTTTGCTGCTGTTATGAATAGTAATGTAAATATCTGATATGCAGGATGTATTTTCATACACTGGACCAAATTTGGCACAAATACCCAATACACCCAAATTTGAATATTGGCGGGATTGGGAAAGGGTATTGATTTTGTCCTGTGGGAGTTGTAGTTGCTGGAATATATAGTTCACCTACAATCAAAGCACATTCTGAACTCCACCAACAATGGAATTGAATCAAACTTGACACACAGAACTCCCATGACCAACAGAAAATACTGGAAGGGTTTGGTGGGCATTGACCTTGAGTTTTGGGAGTTGTAGTTCACCTACATCCAGAGAGCACTGTGTACTCAAACAATGATGGATCTGGACCAAACTTGGCACACATTCTCAATATGCCCAAATGTAAACACTAGTGGAGTTTGAGAAAAATAGACCTTGACATTTGGGAGTTGTAGTTGCTGGGATTTATAGTTCACCTACAATCAAAGAGCATTCGGAACCCTATCAACGATTGAATTGGGCCAAACTTCCCACACAGAACCTCCATGACCAACAGAAAACACTGTGTTTTCTTGTGGTCTTTGGTGACCCCTCTGACACCCTCTCGCGACCCCTCCAGGGGTCCTGACCCCCAGGTTGAGAAACACTGCTATAGAGGAAAGGAACAGTTTTTAAGCAGTTGCCTGTCCCTTGTCGGCAGATCGAGAAAGCTACCAGTTTTTCAAGATTACATGGCATTTTATTCATTTGTTTGAAAATTTAAGCCTTAATAAAGAACTTTGTTGGACCTATTTTGAGCCTCTACAGAACTTTGTGTTGGGAAACCTATGGGATCCTTTAGCTGAGGCACCCCAGCGTCCTGTTGGGCATACAGAAAGCACGTCATATAAACAGACATTGTTATAGGCCCAGTGCGCGACAGCACAATCATAGCATCCTAGAGTTGGAAGAGACCTCGTGGACCATCCAGTCCAACCACATTCTGCCAAGAAACAGGAAAATCCCATTCAAAGCACTCCGACAGATGGCCATCCAGCCTCTGTTTCAAAGCCTCCAAAGCAGAGAGTTTCACTGCTGAACAGCTCTCACAGTCAGGAAGTTCTTCCTCGTGTTCAGATGGAATCTCATTCTTTCCTGTAGTTTGAAGCCATTGTTCCATTGCGTCCTAGTCTCCAGGGCAGCAGAAAACAAGCTTGTACCTTCCTTCCGATGACCTTCCTTCACGTCTTGAAACATGGCCGTTATCATGTCGCCTCTCAGCCTTCTCTTCTGCAGGCTAAACGTGCCCAGCTCTTTAAGTCGCTCCTCATAGATTTTGTTCTCCAGACCCTTAATCCTCTGAGTCGCCCTCCTCTGGACACATTCCAGCTTAGGAGTCGACATCCCCCTTCCATTGCATACAGTAAAGTAAAGTGGACTGACCAAAGCAGAATAGAGCATGGGTAGCACGGCTTCATGCTACCCTAGACTCCTATTGATGCAGACCAACATCCCACTGGCTTTTTTAGCCACCACATAACATTGTTGGCTCCTGTTCACCTTCCTCCCCACGAGGACTCCAAGATGTGCGCCAGCTGCACCCGTACTTTGGGAAGTCGGATCTGGCCACGGTGATCCACGCTCTTGTTACATCCCGGATAGATTACTGCAACGCACTCTACGTGGGGCTGCCTTTGAAGACTGTTCGGAAACTTCAATTAGTCCAGCGGGAGGCAGCCAGATTGCTCACCGGAGCGTCATACAGGGAGCATACCACCCCTCTGTTGTGTCAGCTCCACTGGCTGCCGATCCAGTTCCGAGCATAATTCAAAGTGCTGGTTTTGACCTACAAAACCCTATACGGTTCCGGCCCAGCGTATCTGTCCAAACGCATCTCCCTCTTCGTCCCACCTCGGAGTTTAAGGTCCTCCAGGGAGGCCCTGCTCTCGGCCCCGCCTCTATCACAAGTGAGATTGACGGGGACAAGGAGCAGGGCCTTCTCGGTGGTGGCCCCTCACCTGTGGAATTCACTCCCTGGGGAGATTAGATCATCGCCATCCCTCCTTTCCTTTAGAAGGAAATTGAAGACATGGATTTGGGACCAGGCGTTTGGGCAATCTGGCAGATAGATAAATAAAGGACAACGACGACTGATTGGGAAATTGTGGAATGAAGTTATGGACTCTGAGTTGCGAACATTGGGCATAAGATTGATTTTTTATTGATTGTGATGTATATTGATTGTTTTAATTGTCGAAACTGTTTCAATTTTTGTCTATATTTTTATCTGTATTACTGTGCAGGCATCGAATTGTGCCTTTTTGTACAATTGTGCCCTGAGTCCCCCCTCGGGGGTTGAGAAGGGCGGGGTAGAAGTATACAAAATAAATACATAAATACATTTTTCACACGTACTGCTGTCGAGCCAGGTATTGTCCCCCATTCTGTCTCTTTGCATTTCTTTTTTTCTGCCTAAGTGGAGTCTCTTGCATTTGTCCCTGTTGAGTTTCATTATGTTAGTCTTGGCCCATCATCTCTCTCATCTGTTCAGATCGTTTTGAAATCTGCGCCTTTCTTCTGAAGTCTTGGCTCTCC